GAAGTCGGCTCTCCCTCTGAAATCGTCTCCCGAACAAAGAAGAAAGAGCCATGGCGACGCCGGAGGCACCTCTCTGCTACGTTGGAATCGCTCGTGAGTCCGCCGCTTTCCGCCTCATGAAATTAATGGTACCGTTTCTAAGTTGCCTTACGAACGAATATTTGCTTGTTCTGGCGTTTTGCTTGTTGCTTAGTGGAGTGTTTTGATGGTGTCGCAGGGGTGGGAAGAAGGAGAAGGGCTAGGGAAGGATAAGCAAGGAATTAAAGGATACGTTAGAGTGAAAAACAAGCAAGATACAGTAGGTTTGTTCTTTCGATCTCTCAATTCGTTCAGCCGATCACCTAGGGTTTTCATTTTCGTATTATGTTAGAATGTTATCACCGAATTTATTTGAACAGTGTGAAATCTAAAGAAATTTAGAAATGTATGAGTTCTCAATCCAAGATTTATCCATTTCCGTTGTGAATCAGGTGTTGGTCTAGAGAAGCCAAATCCATGGGCGTTTGATACAGCTCAATTTGATAGTATACTCAAAAGATTAAGAGTGGTGCGTGTTTCATTGATCATGGATAAGTTAAATTGCTAGATTTTATGTGTCTCATTTATTTTCCGTTTCTGTTTTTTACAATCAGCAAGCAGCACAAATTAATGATCAAGGTAGGATTGGTTCCATTGAAAAGCTAGTTTAATGCTACATTGTATTCTAGAATGCTGTTTGAGAAATGCTTATTTTAATTGAACAGTTGAAAAGAATGGAAATTGTACTGTAGAAACTGATGCTGATGCATCTAATGATGCAAATGAAGGAGAAGTTGTCAAGGCAACTCGACTGCAAGGAAGGTTGGTGATGCCTGATTTTCTGTATTTTAGTTGTCTTGTGTCAGTTGTGTTCCTCATGATTGATCTTGCCTTCTCTCTGGTTATTAGATATAAAAAAAGAGAGAGCGGAAAGCTTGTTCATGCATATTCTTCAAAGGATCTGGAAGGAATTCTTGTAAGTTTTCTGAGCCTTAAACAAAGTGCTCTCTTTGTCTAGCTAGGAAATTGGAATTTAGGTTTCCTTGTGCATTTGGTTTTCATGAGGGTGTATTTTTTGGGTGATTTATTACATAGATTCAGCATAGTATCTGAATTTTGTTATACCTCAAAATTTCTTTCCATTTTGAGGTTTAGAACCATGATCTTCCTTGCTACTAGAATCCAAAGGAAAAGAAATTTCTAATAACCAGTATTTTTTTTTTTTTTACTGTTAAAAAATGGGATCACCTCCTCTCTGTAGCCTCTGCTGGGTTACATGTGCCTTTTTATTGACTATTTTTGTTTGCGTCTTTATTAAAATTATTAAATGAACCTTCAATTCTGCATGAAAATGGTGATAGTCATCGTGTTGTGTACTTGAGTTCTCTATCCTTTTTTGCTTCATCATCTTTTTGTTTTTCTAATTCATGGTCTGTTTGATTTTCTAATAATATTTACTTTTGTTTTGAAAAAAATACTGATGTACCTGTCCATGCCATGCAATAGGTCAAAAAGGTTGAGGAGTCAACACAGGTAGATCCTGATCTGGACAATGAATTGGACCCTATTGGAATGTTTGAAGTTCAGGATTTCTGTGATAAAGGTAACCTCTTTGTCTTGGTGTTTTACAAATTCATATTTTTATTTGCACGATAGTGTTTGGAAATGTTGTTGAAAGTCTTTGGAGCCTTCATGGTATGGGAAAAGGCATTAGAATTTTTTAATTCTTTAGTGAATATTTAGCTGTTGGCTGGTGATGACTAGTGGAACAAATTTGGTATTTTGTGATAGGAAACAAGGCTGAAGATGTTACTCCAGAATGGTGGGGTCACAAGTATGGCTTTGTCTCTGGAGGTATTCTTGGAGCAGAATCTAGAAAGAAATTGCTCAAAACTGGTGAAGCTCAGAGATGTGCCAAGAGAACTGTCTTTTTTGAAGATGACCAAGAGAACCTCTACAAACTTGTTCAAGTATGTGAGTTTGCTTTCCAACCTTTACAAACTTGTTCAAGTATGTGTGTTTGCTTTTCCAATACCTATCTGGCAATACTTATGGGAAATATATGTGTGTGAGAATAATTTTACTTTAAAATTTCACCAATATTCTGAAAATGAAACAGATAACATTAGTTGTATTTTATTTGAAAAATTTTTGCATGCTTCATCCAATGGTTAGTCTGATTGAGAGGATATTTCTTGACCAGAGTAGTTTGTGACTACAATGAAGTAAATAGAAGAAGAGATGCACAAGATGTTGCTGAGGCTTGGTATTGATGATTAGACAATTAATGATTTCTTTTATTCTTCAAAAATTTTCAGGATAAATCAACAACTGGCAAGCAAGGTCTGGGAATTAAGGGCCAACCAAAAAAGGTAGCGGGTGTCCACTTTCAAGGAAAAAAGATGTCCTTTAATACTAGTGATGATGATGACTCAGCTGACTGTGGTCCTCCAGCAAAACGAATGTGTGGTGATGGAGTGAAAATGGAAAATGCTGAGGCAAAACTCAAGTTAAAAAGGCTATGTAAACAGCTTCTTCGCCAGGTGTGTAAATTACAGTCTGTATTGAACTATGCCTCTTTATTTTGTCTCTAACTGACTGCACATTTCAGGTACCTGGGGAGTCATTGAAACTAAAACAGCTGAAGGTTCTTGTTGATGAACATTCACCTTTAATCTTCTCCAGCTTCTCTTCAAAGAAATATGCACTTGCTTACTTGAGACGAAAGGTATGTCTTTGGATGTCTGTTCTACTGTGACTTGCTTGTTTTGTCAATTCCTTAAAAGCCCAAATGAATTTAATTTCCTTTAAACAGTGGATGAAACTGGGATTTCTCTGCTGCTTTCTACTGTATAGTACTTGCTGCTTTCTCCCTTATCTCATACATCCTTTTCTGATGCATATAATGATGTTGAATGTAAAATCTTGTTACTAACGATGAATGATTAAAGAGATCTGATGTTGAATGTAAAACCTTGTCCACAGCTTGAAGGCAGTAAGCAGTTTTCTATTGTTGGGAACCGAGTAAGTCTCTCTTCTACAAGTTAGTGAGTGTATTTCGTATAGATTGGATTTGCAGCTGGGACTGGATAATTTTTATCATTTTTGTCAGCATCATATTATTTTTGTCTTCATTATGCATTTTTGTTATAGGTTTAAGTTCACCTGAGTTTAAAAAAGAAGAGTTTTATACCATTTTTTCAATCTTGTGTACGCTTTTTGTATGATCTCAAAATGCCCTCGAGCTGTAGTAATAAAATCATTTTTCCTTTTTAATCTCGTAGTAGCATGTATGGATTAAATCTTGAATGGTAGACCATTTCTAGGCTTTTGGTTTAAAGATTGGGCTGATTTATCCGTCAATGGTATCTCTGACCGGGCCTATTGAGGCTACTCGGGCTAGGCTCATATTTTGGGTTGGCATATTTTTTTTTATCTAATAAAATTTACTTGTAGGCCCACTTAGGTTCTTCCATGTGGTCTGTACCCAGTTCGCCTTAATATTGTTCAGATTAAGGCCGGCTGGGCCAATGGGTTTAATTTGTGAAGTGAAAAAATATGTGTTCGGCCCGGAAATCAATTTCGGCTCAGAAATCCTTTTTTGTCCAAGAGGTTTTGTTTCCCAGATACCTGTAAAAAATTATGGGGGCCCATAATTATTAACATATTATACTGTTGGGCCTTAGGCCGATGAAATTTTTTTATTGATCCATAGAGCCCATTTAAATTGGGCCCTCAGTCTGAAGATTTTCTATTAACTGGTCTAACTTCGAACTTTAGTCCGTTAAAATTTTATGGCCCGCTGTAAGTCCATTTATGTCCAATTGGGGCCAATTAAAAAATCGGAAAGTCCATGGGCCCATTCATTTTGGGCCGTCGTTCCAATTCACTTACGTTTTGGGCCCAGAAACTATTTAGGCCCATTTTTGCCCCAAGATTTTTTTTTTTTTTTTGAGGATGTATCCTTTCCCATGTCCCTGTAAAAATTTACATGGGCCTTTAGTTCAAAACAAATTATACCTGATTACTATTGGGCTGTTGGCCCATTAATTTGTCTTTGGGCCGTTTTATTTTGGGCTGATGCAAGCCCATTTAAGTTCAATTGGGCTCATAAATGGGCCTACAGAAAAATTGATCAGCCCACTGGCCCATTTATTTGGGCTGTCGGTCCAATAAAAATTGACTTTCTACACCATTGGCCTCTAATTCGAATAAAATTTTTATTTTCGCGCTCTAAAACCGATTAAGTTCGCTTTGGGCCCAAAATATTGCAGTGATTGGTCCATCTGCCGATTAATAATTACTAATCCGTTAAAAATTTTTATTTTTGGGCCCAAAATGCTACAAGTGGGGGCCAATTGCCCAGTTAAAATGGTCAGTAGATCAGGCCCATCATGTAGTTCTTTAGAGGCCCAAAAACGTTTTTGAAGAACAAACCAATAACATTATAAGCCTTACGGAATAACCATACATAAAACTAACTTCATATTTGCTTCTTATTACTGGACCTATTTCATAATTGGGCTCCATTCAAGTTTTTGGGGTTGGACCCGTTGAAATTGTTACGTGAAAGTCTCTCAAATGAGCCTGCGGAGAAGAGCATCTACGAGCGTTTCCTGTTTGGGCCGAGACCCTACAGAAACGGGCTACCTACTGCAAAGGCCGTTAATGAGTTTTCCAGAACATACCAAGCAGGTTATTCATGACCACAGTCAAATAGCAAGCAGATTACGACAATAATAATGAGAAAAAACAAGCAAACCATAATAAATATATTTTGTACTGATGCAATTGCGCTAAATGATGAATTAATGAAGAATTATATGTTGATGTTAAAAAAATAATAATAAGAAGTTGCAGATCCATTCTTCCAGGGAAAAAAATATTTAAATTTCCTATTACCAACACTATTAATTATATTGAAATTCTTATTGCCAATCATTACTTCAATATAATTTAAATTCAATCCATAAGCACTTCTCTAGGAAAAATTTTTCCTATTGCCCATCCATCCATCAATATAATTATATATATATATATATATATATATAACCACATCATATTGAAAACTAAACATAAGGTACAAAGCATTAATGTCAACGTTGTCAAGGGACACCCTAAAAGACCTAAAAAGGAGGAAAATGGTAACATTTGCATGACTTAAGAAAATACAATATTTATAAGCCTCTAGACCCATTCCAACACTACCAAACTGGCAGGCAAAGTATGGCCACTAGCCAATCCAGCAGGATTCCAAAAGAAGTTCTTAAATTCCACATGTATCAATATTGAGAGAATTGCTATTGGCTACAGTCACTCCAATCCAAATTATCAAAACCATTTAGAGCATAGAGGATAAAAAGGCAAGAAAGAGGAAGGGGTGAACAGATAAGAGTCTCCAACTTTACATTTGCGTGATCAAGCAGTTTTGCAGAACCACCAAAGGCACAAAACAGCTACTTCGGCCACTGGGCTTTTCTTTTCCTGAAATAAGGTGACTGTACAGCAGGGTTGGGGGATAGAAGCAACTGGGTTTGAAGATTAAATAGTTCCTATCATATCACAATGGCTAGTGTACCACCAGACCAATGTCTAATTAATTGGCCAGCCACCTGGCCTGAGATCTTTTATGTAGAGTATGATTGGGGTTTGAATAAAGATAAAGATAATGAATTCAATTCACAACATTTTACTCTTAAACTAGAAAATATGAATTCAATTCATAACGTTTTACACTTAAACTAGAAAATGGCCTTGTAGACAAGAACTAGTAGATTATAACAGAGGTAACTGGTAAGTGTTAACACTAAACTATTGTAACACCATGAAGAATTTTTTATTCACCATTATAGAGAAAGAAGCTATCCATACCAG